AATGAGGCTCTATATCAATGGGGATCCCAAATCAAAAGTGTGCAGTTCTACCACCAGGTAATAATGTAGCAGTTATACCAGAGGAAGTTGTTGCTAAGACAATTTCATTATTACGCCTCAAATTTGCCATTATAGTTTGATAAAGGAAAGTTTTACCTGTCCTTCCAAGACCATCAACAAAAAATTTTTGACATTGTTTTTGGTGGATGGCGTTCATAATTATATTGTAAGCACTCATCTGGTCATTATTTAACTTCACAACAGATTGAACATCTTCGTTTAGAATTTGGACCGATAACTCTTCCTGAATAATTGTTGGCACTCCCCCGACTTCATTTGTTTTCGTTGTCAACATTGGAAGATCATAGTTTTTTATTAGTTTTCCATGCAGTAGCAAAAGATTCCTCAATTCCCTCGTTAACATATTTTCAAAGTTATCCCCCACAATAACATTTGTCATTTGATAATCCTCCATCATGTAGGGATAAAACTCATTAAATAGGCCTCTAACATCAGTTGGTTCACAAAAAATTAATATAGTCACAAACAACCTTCGTAAAGCATGTGGTGAAGAGACGAAAAGAGCAGCTGCAATTAAATTGAAAGGCATACATGTAGGTTAATTTGATAGACTCAATTTAAAAGATGTACAAAATTCTAAACTATTAATATGGTTAAACTATGATGTTCCTACCCTCTTAATTCTAAGATAGGCATGTCATACATATTTTCCATTTATGTTTTAATCCATTTATTTGTAGTTGTAGGTTCACTCGAACCATAACTATTACATTCATATCACCTTGTTCAACTCAAACATAATTCAATTCACCTTTAACCAACAATATTTTAAAAAAATCATTCACATATTATAAAACACTTAAACGTGAATAATAATAAATAAATTGTCTGTGCATATTTTCATACTGTTTTTTCACGGAAGGAAGATAACCGTCATCGGTACCGCATATGCCATCGTAGTCGATTGGTGGAAGAACACCACACTCTCTTGCGATGTCAAGTAAGTTGTCTGCATTCAAAACAATGGAAATTAAGCTTAATAATAAAACTGAAATGACATATTATAGTTATACTGACATTAATAATATAATACCTACAAAACAGGGAAGCTAATCTTGCAAGAAAATCTAAGATAGAGATTTTGAAAAATAAATAAATAAAAAACTAATCCTGCACAGTAAACTATAATATACTACATAATATCCGAATATCATATATAGTCTAACACCCACATTATTAAAGAATATTAGGCTAACTCTAGTCATAAAGTTATAGCATGGGATATGATCAATATTAGTGTCAAGACTATCCTAGGCACATATGTACCAGAAACAGAGAATAGCTTCCTACATGATGTAATTTTATGAGAAACTATCACATTCTTCTGTTCAAGCATACCAAATTTTTATCAAATTGGTACCAGATAGGTCAAAATCTAGTAGAGTAGACTATAGTTTTATAATTTGGAAAACAATATGCAAGGTTAATGGTTTGCTAATAAAACACAGATTAAAATTAATAACATAATGCATTTTTAACATGACTTATATCATATCCAATTGAGTTCTTTAAATGAATCATATTTAATTTTTTATATTATTTTAAACAATTCAACTTTATTTTCCAAATATCTATACAATCCATCAAAAATTCTAAAATAAATCCTATCAAATCCCACAATTAGTGTTGCAATTACAACTTTATTTTTCAACTATGTTGTTTAATGTAACAATGTTTGCAAATGTAGTAACGATGTTTTTGTTCAATTACCCATTGAAATTGCCACAATAGGTTTGATTGTTGTGTAGAAACTTTATAAACAACATGCGATATTTATGCTCTAATAGGAAGTGTTTGCCATCTATCACTCCCGAGGCATTATTACTGCCTGAAAATATGAAGCTACAAAGCAACCTGGTTTTTTTTAGTGGATTTGATAAATGCACTGCCGAAACAAACATATGCTAAGTAATGGCATAATCTATCTCACCCATTGATACCCATTTCACTAATTTTGGAGGATGCAAGATGCATTGCATTCTGACAAAACTTAAAATAAAAGGATAATTTACAATAACTTTTTGACCATAAAAAGGGTCTGTCTCAAGTAAAATAATGAGTAATAATCATGTGTATTTGTTCCCTCTAAAAACACCAAATCTCTAAAATATCCCACAACAGACAATAAGAGATTGCCATTATTACTCTACCTATGTTTGACAATTACTTAGAATTTTTCATTATACAAAAGGAACACATTTTTTATAGACAAATGATACCTACAACAGATGTGTCATGAAGTTTCACGATGAGCCATTAAGGAAATGTGCCAATGCCTTGTCTGTATTATTGTCATGCATAACTAAGGCCTCCGCAACGCTGCTTGATGAAAATTTGGTTAGTAACCGTGGAGAGAATATTGTGGAGATAGTTGAAGTTATATTATTTTTTTCAACTTTTAAGTAATTGAAATGATAAATTACAAAATGGTATGCAATTATAATTTTCAAAATAGCAAATGATAGTTTTGGAAGAAAAAAAAGGCTACACCAAAATAATGTTTTGCCTTTATATATTGTTATAGAAGATATAGTTGTTATAGATTAAATATTTTATGAAATAAATTTTGTGAAATGAATTTGTGTTTTATAACATAATTTTGCATTAAATATATGATAAATAAATATCAATAAAATAAAATAAAAAGTAAAATAAATATATATTTATTTATACGAAGATCTCTCTCATTTTAAAAAATAACAATAAAAAACATAAGGTTATAGAAAATACATGGAATAAAATTCAACATTAATTATATCTAAATAATTATGTCTAAAAATTGCAGAAAATTATAAATAAAAAAATTTAATTATGTCTATTATGTATAAATAATTATGTCTTATATAGTATTTTCATGCCTTTTAGGTTTAATTGTCCTTTTTTTAAGTTAATGTGTATAAAATATAAATAGTGATTTTTTGTATAACAAATTCAAGTGCAACATAGAAATGTCAAACAACTTATCACCAAATGGTTACTGCTTTTTAATTTCACTCGAATTATGATAGATTCTGTAACTGTTTCTACCAGCCAAACAGAGCTTCCATACAACAATGGTTTAAATCAGGAAACATGTAGGGTTCAAAAATTGGAGAAAAACTTGTTTTTGTGGAGGTTTTCCCTAACACGACCCTCAAAATACTTATACAACGATTATGTTACCATAAGGAAAATCCTACGTCAAACAACTTATGAGTAATTTCGTTTCTGTAATTGTAACCACGGTTAATCCCAACTTAAAGCCTATGGTTCAACAAAATACATTATCAATAACACTTATTAGAAAGTTGAGTCGCATTTACAATTTTTACATTGTAAATATTGTAGTTCATCTCAATAAAAGTAAAGTAATAACAATTAATTTACAAATATTCGGTAGATTTCTTCCTTTTCTATTTTTTACTTCAAAGACAACAAATCTTTATTTAAAAAGAGATTTTATTCAAAATAAGTGTGAAAATTGCAACGTAACTACATTTAAATGGCAAAAAAATCAACAAATGCAATTGCCTCCACCTAAGGTTGTGTTGTGTCAACAAAAACAACAAAAAAAAAAGATCCGAGACAGAAGAAATAAAAAAGAAATGCGAGAGTGATAATAAAAGAAAAATAATAATAATAAATTAATACAAATTTTTCTGGCCTAATCTAGATCCAAAATTTGATGAGTTGGGTTGAATTTTTCTATTAAATAATTATACCTTTAACCTTACAGCACCCAATTCTTCTAACTTCACACCTCAATGTATTTTTCTCAATTTTGTCATGTTACATGAGATAACCTTTAAATAAAAGAAATCAAAATTAAAGAAAATTAAAGTTAAATTAGAGAAAATTAGAGAAGTTGTTACAAATATACCAAATATCAATAGTAGTTTTCAATATCTTTCTTTTCTTTATCTTAGTTCTCTTTTCTTTCCCCCTTTCATTCTCTTTCTTTTTAAATAAATGGATTAAATGAGAATGAGAAGTTATTATTTTGATATAACCTTAAAATAGTTTTTACTCATTGATATATTTTCTATGGCCTTTTGATACTGCAAGTTTTTTAAAATAATTTTAATATAAAAAAATTAAAATGTGAGATGGTAGAAGTTTTTTAACCGTTTATATAGTTGATTTTTGTAAAAGCTGTTAAATAGAATAATAGTGTGAATTATTGAACAAAATTAAAAAATAAAAAGCTACACCAAAACAATGTATTGACTTTATATATTGTTATAGATGAATAAATAATTTTTTTTCTTTCAAATTTACTTATTAAATTAAAAAAAAAAGTATTTTTTACTATTACAAATACTTAATATGCTAGATGGTGTATTGCTGTTCCCCATTTTCTTAATAAGCCACACACATGTGGTTGAGCCTTCAACTTACTACTATAAAACCTATTCAAGAGAGAGAGAACAATGCAACATTTCAACGTACAATACACAACTTCCAAACACAAAACATTCTCTTCTCTCCCATTTCCCTTCTTTTTTCATTTCCTCTCTTTAACATTTTAGTTACTTCTCTTCTTCTGCTTTTTGTAAATGTCTTGTTCTGCTTCTCTTTTCATTTTCTTACACAAATAGAGCATTATTTAACTTTTCACACAAGTCTTGTTTTGTGACAAACCTTCTTTATTTCCATTTCAAAACAAACATGTTTAGCCTTATGAAAAGCTAACAAAAATTGTTTGTTATTTTTGAGATCTAGCTATGGTTTTTGTTCTCTCTCTCTAGAGTAGTAACTCACATTGTTTTGCGTGGACTAGAAGCAAAACATAACAAAAACAAAAACATTCATGTTTCTTGTACACCTTTTTGGATCTATCTAGTGTGTTTGTCATATACCATTGTTCACATCTTTGACTTGTTGAGTTCTTGTCATTCTTCTCTTTTGCTTTTTTGTGATAAAAAACTACTACCATTCAAATGGATCGTTTTTCTTCTACTACTACTATTCCTTTTGCTTTTCATGGAGCTAAAGATGACATCACCATGCAATTCTCTTTGATTTGGACTCAAATCAAAGCACCATTGATTGTTCCATTGCTAAGAATATCAGTGTTTTTATGTTTGATAATGTCAGTGATGATGGTTATTGAGAGGGTTTATATGGGTATTGTCATTTCTCTTGTGAAACTATTTGGAAGGAAACCTGAAAAACGTTACAAATGGGAACCTATTAAGGATGATATTGAGTTGGGAAACTCTTGTTATCCAATGGTTCTTGTTCAAATCCCTATGTATAATGAAAGAGAGGTAGCACTTCATTATTTTAATGTAATTTAACTTTCTTAAGCATAGTAATTAAGCACTTTTAAAGCTTGACATTATTGATAATTTTTCTCTTAAAGGTTTATCAATTGTCAATTGGTGCTGCATGTGGTCTTTCTTGGCCTTCTGATAGGATCATTATACAAGTCCTTGATGACTCCACTGACCCAACAATCAAGGTAACCGTTTCAGAGCCGTTACAAGTTTTTGAAGATTCTGTTACAATTTAATCATAACAAAAAAATAGAAATTTTTTTAAATACGGTTTAATTGTCAAATATAACAAACGTTTGACTATGTACAGTAGTCTGTCTTACACGTTATATGGTAATTGATTTTGATATTTGTGGTAAAAAAATATGCAGGAGTTGGTGCAAATAGAATGCCAAAGATGGGCAAACAAAGGAGTGAATATAAAGTATGAAGTTAGAGACAATAGAAATGGATACAAAGCAGGGGCACTGAGAGAAGGAATGAAACATAGCTATGTGAAACAATGTGATTTTGTTGCAATATTTGATGCTGATTTTCAACCAGAGTCTAATTTCTTGTGGCGTACTGTGCCATTTTTGGTGCATAATTCTGAACTTGCCCTTATTCAAGCTCGTTGGAAATTTGGTAACTTTGTTTCTCTTTCTCTTAAGTTTCAACAACAACAAAAAAAAAAACATTATATACTAGATTTATATTTTGAGTTCTCTTAATTGCGACATAATCTTAGTATAATGTCTTAACTAGATAGTGATTTGTTAAAACATAGTATTAAACTGTCGGTGGGTTAATGTGGGACCCAGTTTGTGGTTGAACTACTACTCTGCAAAAAGTTGCAAACAATAAACATGATCACAATATGTACGGTAGTAGCTTTCGTGGTTGCCTTGTATTGAAGCCACGTATACTAGTTTGATTTTTTTTATTTAACTTTTTAATTAATTTGCATAAATAAAAAAGCATAGCAATTAAAGTTTTTCTGTTTTGAGGACAGTTGTAATGAAAACTTGTGAACTGATGATAGTTGTGTGGCCGAAAAGTTAGATCAAAACCTTACCATTAACATTGAAATAGATTTTTTTTTTTATAGTGGTTGGAATTCACCTTTAGAGATGAATAAGTAGAAGATCGCGAGTTCAAACCTGCGTTTCTACATACAATTATATAATGTTTTTACACAACTATCAACTTATTTTCAACAATGAAATAATGTCATAACAAAAAAAAGTGAAATAATGATATTTTAGAAAATGTGATATCTGGGTTATAATGGTAAGGAAATTGAAGAATTTGTGTGGGTCCAAACATTATTATTGTTGATTTCTGGAGGGCAATAGTTGAAACATGGTTGTACAATATACTATTTGTAAGGGCATTTCTGTCATAAACAAGAATAACACAGTTGTTAGTATTATTATTATTATGGTTGTTGTTGTTGTCATGATTGTTGTTATAGTGCTTCGTCCTTTACTACTCTTCTGCTAACACAGACAATTGCACATGTAAATTTAATGCTTGTCTCATTTCACCCTTCTATCTATTTATCTCTAATAACCAATCTAGTTACATTAGTAATAAATTTCAATCCACCACCTAAGATTGTTAACCATGCAATTTTTTTTATTTTGTTATTTCAGTGAATGCAGATGAATGTTTAATGACCAGAATGCAAGAGATGTCACTAGATTACCATTTTACCGTTGAACAAGAAGTTGGATCTTCTACTTACGCCTTTTTTGGCTTCAATGGTAAATAATAATATAGGATGGTGTCTGACGTGTCAGGGTCGTATATGCCTGAGTGCTTCATAGAAACTACCTCGTTTTTTAATATTGTTGTGAATTACCATAGGGACTGCGGGAGTGTGGAGAATTTCAGCAATGAATGAGGCTGGTGGATGGAAGGATAGAACGACGGTTGAAGACATGGACTTGGCAGTTCGAGCAAGTCTCAAAGGATGGAAATTTTTATACTTATCAAACTTGCAGGTGAAAAACGAATTGCCGAGTACTTTCAAAGCCTACCGTTACCAGCAGCATCGTTGGTCGTGTGGACCTGCGAATCTTTTCAGGAAAATGGTCATGGAGATTATCAAAAACAAGGTAAGGTTGTTATGGAGCTTTCTAGAATTGTTTTCAATCTATAGATCATAGATGTAATGTAATGCTCTTGATTGCAGAAAGTGTCGTTGTGGAAGAAGATACACGTAATTTACAACTTCTTCTTTGTTAGGAAAGTTGTAGCTCACATCAACACGTTTGTGTTTTATTGCATTGTACTACCTGCGACAGTTTTGGTGCCGGAAGTTGTGGTTCCGAAATGGGGTGCTGTTTATATCCCTTCGGTTATTACTCTTCTCAATGCTGTTGGAACTCCAAGGTTTTTATTTCTCGAAACTTTTCCTGATCTAGACACTAGTTTAGATAAAGTTTCGCGTAAATACAAGGAAACTTGTTTTGCAAGTAACTCTTTATTGATTTGAATTTGGTTTGTTTTTATATGTTAGGTCACTCCATTTACTTGTATTTTGGATTCTTTTTGAGAATGTGATGTCTCTACATCGAACGAAAGCAACTATTGTTGGTCTATTGGAGACTAGTCGAGTGAATGAATGGATTGTCACTGAGAAGCTCGGAGACGCTCTCAAGGTTAAAGCAGGAACAAAAGCACTCAAGAAGCCTCGGTTCAGAATTGAAGACAGGTATGAATCAGTATTATAACCTCAGTTATTTGATAGCATTCAACATGTTTTTAACACATGGTTCATGAACTGCACTGAAACAAATCAAATCTCAATGGTTGTCGCCTAAATGTTGCGCAGAAACATCAAAAACTTTGATAACATTTTTTTATAAACAAATGATTTGTAAATAGTAAATGTTTTATGTTACTTGTGCTTACCTACATTGGTCATCTTTGTTCTCAAATTTCAAATAGGATTCACTTGCTAGAACTCGGTGTTGGAATGTACCTCTTCTTTATTGGCTGCTACGATGTCATGTTCGGGAAAAACCACTTCTTCATCTTTCTCTTTATCCAAGCATTCGCCTTCTTCATCATGGCTTTTGGATATGTTGGAACCTTCATTCCCAACACCTAGAAGGACTTGGCATTTCTTCACTCGACGATTTCATCTTCTGTTGATTCAATCATGTTGTAACATATTGTGTTTTCAGCATTGTTAGTTTAAAGGAAAAGGTTGTTATTCTTTTAGGTTTTGCATAAGAGTGAGTGACTCTTGAAGAGTTTAGTTTTCTTGTGAATATTCAACAAAAACATAAAGAAATTATATTAAGTCCTTCTCATGGAAGGTAAGTCCTCAAAATAAGAACAAGGCAGCAATCTACTGACATCGATCGTCATGGAAGCAATAAGGTTTTGTTGGATGGATTGTTTATAAGATTTTGTAGTTCTTGTGATTTCATTATTTTTTTAAAGTTGTATTTGTTGGAGGAAATAAGCAGCTTCTAGAAATTGATAAAGTACATTAAGTTCTATTTTGTATAACACTTTTCTATGTCTCCTCTATGTTTTGTTGGTAATTCAGAGATGAACTGAATAATATTGATATTTTCTCATTGATAGATGAATAACTGATATAATTAGCTATGACGACTATATTTTACATAAAGCTATACAATAATACCCTCCCTCCAGCGGAAGAGTAGTTAACTGATATTCTCTGACTACATGACAATTTATTTCAATATGTTTGGTTTATTTATAAAATGTTGTGACGAGCAGATTTAGTGTCACATCATAATATAAAATTGCCTATGAAACATTTGAAATAATGAGGTCCCGAAGCAAATAACTTTTGCGGAAGCTCGCACACATTTGAAGCTAAAACCCTGCACTTAGTTTTTGATGATGATCTTTAGACTATACTATGTTTCTTTGAATTTGCATGATGATGATCATGAGACTTTCCTATGTTTTTTTAATTCCATCAAATGAGAGTCACCTAAGAAAAACATAAAATGAGAGAGTTACGTAAAAACACATAATTGATGAGTTCCAAACTAAATTTTGATGAACAAAAATCAATCTTTTTGATTGATTATTCCTCTTGTTTTTCACTCTTCATCCGAGTGAATCAATCATCTTTTATTGCAAGATTATATCGCTGCTGCACAATGATAATAGAACAAGAAAACAAAATTGAGAGAGAAATAGTTAGGGTTTATGAAGAGAAGGAAGAAGAACTTCTTTTTGCAGAGTTTCTCTTTACTTTTAAACTAATCTATTTATTCAACTGTGCAACTGCACTTCTGTTGTGTTTCTAGTTACAATTAATAATTTGGTTACTCCCTATTTATAGGTTGAGTTTGCTTGCACACACAGTAAGTCTAACTAACCTAACTAACTCAGCTAAACAAACAAAATAAAGCTAAGTCATAATTCTGTTGAGGCATTCTTCGACATTTCGACACACAACATTTCGACAACAGCATATTCTGTCAAAATTTCTTCTTTGACACAAAGAATTATACTTTCAATGCACCACCTTATTCATTATGCCAAAGCTATCTACATTCGTCATAGAACTTAACTTCTTGAACACTTTGACCTGTAGTCCTTTCGTCATGATGTCTGCAATCTGATTCTCAATTCTGCAGTATTCCAAGTTTAGCTTCGCTTTTGCCACTTGCTCTCAAATATAATGGAACATCATTTTGATGTGCTCGCTTTATCCATGAGCTATCGGATTCTTCGCCAGATTCATACCAGACATGTTGTCGATCTTCATGGTAATTGCTCCATGATTCTTCCCTGTAATCTCTTCGATCAGATTCACCATCTATATTGTTTGACATGCACAAAGAGAAGCAGTTATGTACTATGTTTTACATGATAATAAAGTCATTATCGGTTCCTTTCTTGAACTCAAAGCAATTGGTGCACCACCTAACATAAACAAATAGTCAACTGTGGATTTTCCATCATCAACATCACTACACCAACTTGAGTCGGTGTATCCCACTAACTTGCATTCTTTTCTTTCATCAGCTGTAGGAAACAAAATTCCATAGTCGAGAATTCCTTTCAAATACCTTATCATTTTTGTCGCTGCTAGGTGTGATACCTTTGCCTTCTACATAAATTTGCTCACCATACCTACGATGTATGCTAGATCATACCTTGTATTACATAGGTATCAAAGTGATCCAATGAGGTTTTTGTACTGCGTTGGATCGACATCATCTTCATTTGTGTTTTTCGATATTTGCAGTCTGGGCTCAGCTATAGTCAAAGTTGGGTTGCAATCTTGAATTTCAAATCTCTTGAGTATTTCGCCTGCATATGTTCTTTCGATCATCATCAAGCCTCTACTACTCTTGTAGAATTCAATGCCAAGGAAGAATGATAGATTTTCCAAGTCTGACATTTCAAACTCCTCACTTAGGTCATGTTTGAAATCTTCAATCTCCTTCTTGCAACTTTATGTTATCAACAGGTCATTGACATAAAGACATAGTTGTGCTTCTTCTTACATATACTTCATGCTCAGTTATACACTTCACAAATTCCTTCTCCTTTAGAAAGATGTCTATCTTCTTATTCCAAGCTCTTGGAGCTTGCTTAAGTCCATACAAAGCTTAATGTAACCTGCATACCTTACTTTCTTCACCTTGTTTCACAAATCCAACTGGTTGTGCAACATAAACTTCTTCATCTAAGGGGTCATTCGAGAATTCACATTTCACATCCATCTGGCATATGTGCCAGTTGTTCATGTTTGCTAGACCAACAACCAACCTGATTGTTTCTATTCTAGCAGCAGGTGCAAAAACTTCATTAAATTTGATTCATTCTTTCTGATTAAATCCTTTCACCATAAGTCTTTCCTTTTGTCGAGTTACTTATCCTTTGGGATTCAACTTCACCTTGTATACCCACTTCACATTGATTGCCTTCTTATCTTGAGGCAATTAGACAAGTGGCCAAGTGTTGCCCACTTCGATGGACTTCAGTTCCTCATTCATTGCTTTCATGCACTTCAAATCCTTCAATGCCTCAGCTGCATTGACTGGTTCGACATCTGCATAGAAAGCAGATCATACCAGCTCGCCTTTATCATCGACCATATCATCTGATATAATCACTCATTCTTGCAACCTTGCAGGCATGTTTCTTGTTCTTTGAGGTCTGCTTATGCTTGCTTGACCTATGACTTTTTCTTGTCAAACTTCTCTTTCGACTTTACTTGCTGGTTCTTCACAAAAGATTCTCACTGAACCATTCTTTACATTTTCAGTACAGTCTCATTCCTAAATTCCATTTATGATCACGTCCCTGCTAGTCACTATTTTCTTGTTCATTGTGTCGAACAAGTTGTATCCTTAAGTTGAACGATATCCTATTAGAATCATTTGAATCGACTTATCATCAAGTTTTCTTCTAAACTAATATGGCACATGTATATGTGTTATAGATCTTAATACCTTCAGATGACTCAAGCTAGGCTTGACACTAGACCAACATTCTTGAGGTGTGATTCTTTCTAGCCTTTTCGTCGGACATCTGTTCAAAATATATGTTGCATTCGACACAACTTCTCCCCATAATTCTTTGAGTAGATACTTGCCTTTCAACATACTTCTCACCATATTCATGATGGTTCTATTATTCCTTTCTACAGTTCCATTTTGTTGTGGAGTTTAGGGTGGCACCACCTCATGCACAATCCTTTCTTTCTCACATAATATGTCGAAGTCTTTTGACACATATTTTCCACCACCACCAGTCCTCAGAATCTTGAGCTTTCGACCACTTTGCCTTTCGACCATAAATTTAAACTTGGAAAATACCTCGATCACTTCACTTTTCTTCTTGATCAAGTAAGTGCATATTTTTTGACTGAAATCATATATGATTGTGACAAAGTATCTTTTACCGCCAATCAAATCCGCTTGGATAGGACCACATACATCAGAGTATATGATTTCAAGAATTGCCTTCGACTTACTTCTAGGATCCTTGTTGAAGTTATTTTTATGTTGCTTAGCCTGCACACATTTCATTTGGAATGTCGATTTCTGGTAACCCTGAAACCATACTTCTTCTCTTCAAATCTCGGATGTATTTAGAGTTGAGATGACCAAGTCTATAATGCCATATCCATTCATCCCTTCTAGTTGCAGTTGCAAGGCACTTATGCTCCATCACATTAATTTCAATCCTGAAGATTCTATTTTGAGACATTTGAGCCTTCAAGATTAACTTTCCTCCTGAGTCGAGAACTCTCATTATCTTGTCTTCAATCGACACTTTATAGTGTTTTTTGACTAACTTCCCTATGCTAAGAAAATTACTTTTCATGCCTGGTATATACAGTAAATTGGAAATCACTAACCTCTTGCCATTTTTCCTCATAATCAGAACATCACCAGTACCTTCAACTGCTAGAGTATGGCATTTGCAAATTTTACCATGTTCTTTATTAAGGATTTTATGTTGACAAACCAATCTTTCCTACCAGTCATGTGTGATGAGCATCCTGAGTCCATGTACCGAGTGTCATGGAATCTTTCTTCATCTTTTGTTGTCACCATCTACAACATCTCTTCTTCTTCATGCTTTGCAAACTTTGCATCATTTTCTTAATTTTTTTTGTTTTCCAGAACAATCACTAGAGTAGTGACCATACTTCTGACAATTGGAACACTCAATGTGAATTTTATCAATTTTTCGACCACTACCTTTTCCTCTACCTGCAGCACCACTTCTTTGGTTGCTTTGGTGTGAGGAATTTCTCTGATTCGACCAGCCTCCTTCTTGCTAAATTTGACCAGCCAAATTGTTTTAGCCTCCTTTACCTTTATTTTTGAATCACTTTTTTTGCCTTTCTTTTCTCTTATTGATTGCGTCTGCAAAGCCACGTCATTTTTTGACTTGTTTGCAACTCTTTCAGCCATTCTTTTTTCATGAGATTCAAGCATCCTTTGAAGCTCTTCTTTTGTCAATGTTGATAAATATTTCGACTCTTCTATGGCTACTACCACATGGTCAAACTTTGGAGCCAATGACCTCTATGGCTACTGATCTTGGTGTTAACACTTTTCCATATACCTTGATTTGATTCACCAGTTTTGTAGC